ACCCACAGCCCTTAATCTTCTCCCACCCCTCTCACAATCCCCACCCCACAGACCCTCTCAGCCCCTGTTCTTTGAGAGTCCCCCTCCCATGGCCGAGAGTCAATTCCTCACCCAGAGTTCCTGACTCAGCTTCCTCAGAGATCCCTGCTTATGCCCTCTGCCCACCAGTCTCCTCTTCTGTCCACCAGTCCTCTCTTCTGGTCAGCCCCACTCCTCTGACATGGCCCCAACTCCAGGAAACAGCCACCGACCCCTGGCTCCCAACACCTGCCCATTCTCTCGTCCTTCTCCCCATTGGCAAACCCGGGCCACCACTTCCTTCCTTCCTTCCACAATCTCCTCCTTTCTCTTCCTGGCCAAGCCCCTTTTCTGAACAGTATTTCCAGTGTTGCCTCTGCCCTGTGCCAACGAGTACACAGCTAACCTGGGGAACTCACTTCCACAAGGTTTTCCTGAGACAAAATGGTCAGCGGGGTGAGACATTGTCATGGATGACGAGAGCCTTCATGGTTAGATTAGATCAGAGATTGAATTACACTGCCATGGTGCAGGTCTCCAGTGAGCCATTAACGCACAGAGAACCTCCCTGAAATGGAGGTCAGTGCAGAATTGTCCATTCAGAGGTGGTCCCTGTCCCTCTATATTCAGCAGCTGGTGGTGTGACCCTCCAAGAGTCACAGCTCTGAGCTGGGCTGTTCTCAGGAGCCTGTGGAAAGAGGAACATTTAGTCCCATAAATCTCTGCTGACTCTCAGGGCTGGATTCAGACACTCCAGGGCCATGCATGGAGTGGGGGGGGGGCTCCAAAGGTAGGCTGGGACAATGGCATGGGACCCCTGGTCTGTCCCAGAAGACTCTCGCCCAACCCCTTGGGAACAGGTAGGTGCCAACAGACAGGCAGAGGGCAGTCATGGTGCCCCCAGTCCTTACCTCCCCAGACAGGGTGTGTCTGCTTGGGTGAGGGTGTCGGGACTACTGTGCTCTTCCCCTCCCCTGCACAGAGATCCCCGTGCTGGGGTGGGGTTGGTGGGGTACTCCAGAGCAGTGGTGCTGGGAGTTCAAACCCCACTGAGATGCTTGGGGCACTTCCATTCTCCCAGAGCCATTGTCTCAGGCCCTCTTCAGACTCAGGCAGGCAATGCTGCACCTGTTGCAGTGGGGGCAGATCTCCCCATCGTACCCCTATTGTTCCATTGCTATGGTAGTGCAGCATCTGTTGCTGGCCCCAGTCAGACCCAGGTTAGTGGACACCCCCACCCATATTACCCCATCATGCCCAATTCCTGGTATCTAGTCATGCCATCCTTGATGTGGTACAGTAGGCACTCTTATATCAGGAGGTTCTCATTGAGATTCACCAGGTGGGGGGGTTTGCAGAGGGGGGCAAAGAGATTGAGAAATGGGGTAGGAGATGCTATGGTCAGTGAGGGGCTGGGGGTCAGAGCACCCCATAGAGAAGGGCCTTGCTCCAGGGGATTCTGGGATTGAGGGTCCAAACACCTCATAGAGAAGGTCTGTGCCCTAGGGGATTTGGGATTGAAGGGCCCAGGACCACACACAGAAGGGCCACACCTCAGCAGGGGCTGGAGTCAAGGGACCTGAATCTCCTCTTCCTTAGACCAGACATACTCCATTGTCACACCATGGACTTACCCTGGGGTGAGTGAGGGGGAAATCAGCCCCAATGACTCCAAAGAAGTTACTCCTGATTTACACTAGGGTGAGTGAGAGGGAATCAGCCCCATTAACTCCAAAGAAATTACTTCTAACTTTTCTTAACATTGGGGTATTTTGGTGCTGATTTATTGTGCACAGACAGAGATCAAACCAGGGCTCAGATCCTCACAGCAGGGAGCGTTTCCAGTGCTCAAGGGCCACTCACCAGCTCTTTGGAGGAAATAAAGTGACAGCATTATTAGCCAAAGGATCTAGCTCTCAGTTAGGCCCGTCAGCCTTCGAACTGCTTGGAGTGGCACCAAATGGATTACGCTGAGCATGTGCATGGAGGGAGGATGAGCTGGTTAAAAGGTACCTCTGGCTCACAGGCTGTGAGTCCGTGAAGAGGGAATGTCCAGTAGTGGCTGACAAACCCACATGTCATCTGGGCATTTGAGTTCAGATCTAACCCTGAGCCAAAATCTGAACCTAAGAATAAGAAGGCACCTGGCTCTGTCTGAGGGTTTCAAACTGTGGGGAAATGTCACCTGGGCACTGCAGGATATTTAGAAGGTGATGAAACAATTTTTAAAATCCACATACCCGCTGGGAGGGGAGGATGATGAGGGTGGAAGAGATGGTGGGAATTGTGGGAGTGGGGTTTGGGGGCAGCGAGGGGAAGGGGGTTATGGGGAAGGGGACGGAATAGGGTGGGTGGTTAGGAGAAGAGTTCGGTCAGGAGATAAGGAGGCGTGGGACACTGGGAAGAGAGGACATGAGGGTGAATGACAGGGGGCTGGGAGAACAGAGGGGTGTGATGTCCTGTCTCTTTCAATGTTCAGAGGGCTCTAAGCTCTCTCCCCTCCCAAGTTCAAAGCCTCACTTTCCTGTTAGTTTCAGTTTTGCAGTGGGAACAATAAAGCGAGCACAGCACCCAGTTGTGTTTCCATCAGTGCTCTCTGTGCCTGTGTGTCTATCTCCTTCTCTGATGGATCCAGAACTAGAACAATGGGCAAGATGCCCAACAGCCCCACATTCCCCTTCCTTGTGTGTGCCAATATCAAGGGGCTCTTGATGTATCTATGGGTGTCCGATACCACTCCTTCTCCCCCTTTTGTGATCTTGGGGGCTTTCTCCTTGGCTTTTGGCGGGAGGGGGCACTGAGCCTGTCTCCCTAATCACCCCTCCCAATGTGTGCCAAGGTCTGGGGAAGCACCGCCCCTCAGGTTATGAAACTGAAAAGAGGCAAAGGGGCACATGATCCCACAACACACAGAACAGCCTGCTGGCACCTGGGTGACTGATATGAGTGGTAGGGTGACCAGACAGCAAGTGTGAAAAATCGGGACAGGGGGTGGGGGGTAATAGGAGCTTATATAAGAAAAAGACCCAAAAATCAGGACTGTCCCTATAAAATCGGGACATCTGGTCACCCTAATGAGTGGAGCAGTTCAAACCTCTCTGAGCGATTGTTTCAAGCTGATAGATAGATAGATAGTTTCTTATCTAATTCACAGTAGAGTAACTCCACTGACTTCAGTGAACTTAGTCTGGATTATTACTACTGTGAACACAACATTTTTGCATAAAGAGCCTGAACATCACATTCCCATGGAGTCAATAATGTCATCAGTTAATTATATCTGTAAAGAAGCACAGAATGAAAACATGGTCATGGGAGAAATCTGGAATTTTATTCTTTTTGAATAACTTTTCCTCAGTCAGTTTCCTAGGGCACCTTTGATCTCCTTGTTCCTCATGCTGTAGATGGCTGGATTCATCACTGGAGGCACCACGGAATAAAGAACAGCCACCGCTAAATCAAGACCTGATGTTGAGCTGGAGGTGGGTTTCAGGTAGGCAAAGGTGGCAGTGCAAACTGTGACAAAGTTCTGTCCTTGACTCTGTGGTTCCAGCGTTTCCTGATGCATTTTTGCTAGCCTCAGAGGCTCACTGTGACCTTCCACATAGCCCTTCTCTCTCTAGAGGCAAGGGTCACAGTCTATTGAGCCATTTTCAACATAAGCCAGCAAGGGAGGTGAGGAGAAACAACCCTCCCTCACACAGTCTCTGTTGTCTCCCACTATCAGTGATTAATCAGGGAGGGGAGGGGGAAGCCCGGGCCCGTCCTCTAGTCCGGGCTCCAGCCCAGGGACACTAAATTTAGCAGCTATGAAAGCTGACTTTTTGGAAATAGGGCATGTACAATTCCCTGGGCTACTTCCCCACAGCAGCCCCCACTCAATATCTTCTTCACAAATAACTCACGGCCTCCTTCCTTGCACCCGATATGGATTCGTACTACTTCGTTCCTCCACAGCACAGCTCCCTCCTATAACTCCTGACACCCACACCACATTGACTAACTGGGAGGTTTTTAACTAGTTCCAGCCAGTCCTTGATTGGCTTCAGGTGTCCCAATCATTCTAGCTGTCTCTCCTGCCTTCTAGAAGGATCTTAATTGGCCCCAGGTGTCTTGATTAGTATGAAGCAACTGCCATTTGGTTACCATGATACCAGGGATTTGTTTAGCCTGGGGCTAACATACCTCTTCCTCACTACTTTACTGTAGCCATCTGGCCTTGCCCCATCACAAAACTGACAAGGAGACCACAGTGAGGTGAGGGAGACAGGTGGCGAAGGCTTTATACCGGCCCTGCTCAGAGGGGATTCTCAGCACTGCTTTGAAGATCTGAACATATGACACCATTATAAAAGCAAAGAAGAAGAGAAAAGAAGTAATAACAACTTCACTGACGTACGAGTCATTGCAGGTGATCTTGAGCAGCTGGGGGATTTCACAGAAGAACTGATCCACCTTGTTACCACCACAAAAAGGTAATGCAAATATATTCCCGGTCGGCATAGTAGAAATGGGAATTCCACTGATCCAGGCACTGGCTGCCATTTGGACACAAGCTCCCCTGTTCATTATAGTCTCATAGTGCACTGGTTGGCAAATGGCGACATATTGGTGGTACGCCATGATGGTGAGAAAAGCAAAGTCAACCGCAGCGAAGAAAAGACTTGGGCAATGCACCCAGAATAAGAAATCGACCTGGTGTTCAATAGAAAGTTGGCCATGGACTTGGGTAGAGTGATGTAGATGGAGCCGAGGTCTAGTATGGACAAATTCATCAGGAAGAAGTACATGGGGGTGTGAAGGTGGTGGTCGACCACTACAAGGATGATAACAAGAATTTTTTCCCCCAGGCCTGCCAGGTAAATCCCTAGAAACACCACAGAGTGTAAAATCTGCAGTTCCCAAACCTCAGACAATCCCAGGAGAAGGAAATCGGTCACAGTGGTGCAGTTGGACATTTTCTTTCTCAATACATCATGAACTGTCTGTGGAAGGAAGGGCAAGGGCAGTGGTCAGGTTAGAGTCCTTCCTTCTACTCACCTCTGTCAATCACAGCACTAGTGAGGAGCATTGTCACACCACTGTAAATTGCCACAGTTCCCTTACAGTTAATGGATGGCGTCTGTTTCCTCCATCTGAGCATCTGGTCCAAGATGAGGCTTGAAAAAATGCAGTGTAAATATGAAACAAGTTACAACCCAAACCCAACAATCTTAGGAATAATGGTCATCCTATTGCAACAATGGAGAGCTAGATTAGGAAAGAAGAATAAGGCTACATCTACACTACGAGCCAGGGGAGTGATTCCCAGATCACATACACTACTTGCAATAGCTCGAGGATGGCTAGAACTAGTCTAAAAAGTAGTATAGCCATAGCAGAAGCGGAAAGTATGCTGAATACATAGCTCCAGGGTTCAGGTGGGTTTGAATTCAGCATGCCTAGTGCAGGTACACTGCTATTTATGCTCATGAAGCTAGCACATGAGTACATGTATGCAAGCTGGTGAATCACAGAACTAGCTTGCTGAGTCGATGTAGCCTAAAAGAGTTTGGCTAATTAAGTTTGCAAAATGCCAGCTGAGAGGGGATATGATCACTCTCTATAAATACATCAAGGGGGTAAACACCAGAGAGGAAGAAGAGCTATTGATGCTAAAGAAGAATGTCAGCAGAAGAAGGAATGGGGATAAATTGTCCAGGAGTAAATTTAGCTTGGAAATGAGAAGAAAGTTTGTCCCCATCAGAGGAGGGATGGTATAGAGCAGCCTCCCAATAGGAGCCATTGACAAACAACCCAACTGGTGTTAACATGGAGCTGTGTCAGTTTAGGGTGGGGATTATAAGATTGGGTTGCCAGAGAGAGCAGGGGATTGGACTCAGTGACCCAGATCCCTTCCACTCATTTCTTCTTAGGACAAACAGCAGGCTAACAACTTGGACAGGTAACTAAACTTCTAAACCAGCGGCACAGCCTGATCCCCTCTTTCCAGGGAAACACAACAAGGACATACCCAGTGCCCCGAGCGCCAGCTCATCTGTGATGATTCCACATTGAGTTCTTTGCAGAGACGGTCTGCTACCTGATTGCAGATTGATTCATGGCCCCTGATACCTTACTTGCGTCTCTGTGTAATGATGGGCTAGGAGCATCCCTCTGTTACTGCTATTGTTTATGGTTTCCTTCTCTACCTTCACGCCTGCGCTGTGCAGGTCAGTGGCAATGAGGAGACCTGGGTTATGTTCTTGTCTCTGCCACTGACCTTCTGGGTGACCTTGGGCAAGTCGCTTTCCCTTTCTGTGCCTCTGTTTCCTCTCCCTCACTTTCTCTGCCTTGTCTACTAGGACTATGATCTTGGTTAGGGAGGGGCTGTGTTTTACTATCTGTATGTTCTGTGCACCTGTTTACAGCATTTGTGTTCTGCTGGCAGCAGTGTGGGACAGAGGATATGGGGCTAGAGCAGGAGATTTTGATTCTCTTTGGGCAGGATTGAAATAGACCGGTTTCAGGTGGTTGGTGCAACACTGACTCCGTGTTTACAGGTGCTAGTGTGTACAGAACACAATCTGCAGGCTTTGCTGCTATCCTGTTTTATTTACCTTTCCATGACTATTCCTTTTAAACAAAAATAAACACAGTTGCAATAGAAGAAACAGGTTTGAAATGGCTGTGTTATTAAATATAAAAATAATGTTTCCCAACTTTGTTTAAAGCTCAATTTCCAATTAGGGGCGGTCAGAGATTTTCTGCCCATTTTTGTTTTTAAAACTGGGATTT